TCTCTCTCTCTCTCTCTCTCTCTCTCTCTCTCTCTCTCTCTCTCTCTCTCTCTCTCTCTCTCTCTCTCTCTCTCTCTCTCTCTCTCTCACTCTCTATGTGCTGATGTGTGCATAAGTGCTGACAGAAAGTAGTCTTGGAAGATGAATGCTCGTCTCTCTCCTGCTTTTGTTCTTCTTCAGGTAGATATGGCAGCTCACCGAGCCCAGTTCCTCCAGCCTGAATCCCAATCTCCCGCATGCAATAAAAAAGTAGAGTTGTGCCTGTTGCACTCCTGACTGCTGTTCTTCTTTCTTTACTTATGGTCGTCGCCACGATGACTCGCCAGGATAAATATCAGCCGGTGTGTTGACATTTCCCGTAGGGTGCAAGAGGCCTCTGAGCTAATGAATCGTCGTATCCTTCATTGGTGTTTGCAGGAGGCTTCATTGGCTTTGGAAGGCGGCTATGGAAACATGAAGGTTTCGTCACGGAGAAGGGAGCTTCTGCCCGTTTCACATACCACAGTTTAGACGATGAGGAGGGTGTGTGATTCTCATCTTGCTTGCTCTGGTGTTTTCCCTTCACTTTCCTTCAGTCTACTCTCCCTCACTCCCCTTCATTTCCCTTCACTGCCCCTGACTCCACTCCTCGTCACTCCTCGTCACTCCTCCTTACTCTCTCCCATTCACTCCCCTTTACTCACATTTACTCACATTCACTTCCTTTGACTGTCCTTCAATGTCCTTCACTGCAGTTCACTCCCCTTCAGTCTGATGTAGCCTACATCAGTCCCTTGAGGTCTTTGAACATTCAATCTTTTTAATCCTGGTGGGCTTGCATCTCATCGTATTGCTGGTTCACTGCCCACCCGGTGGCCCTGGGTCGGAATCAGGAATGAAAAATCCTCTGCCGTCACCTTTAAATGGTCCACGCATGCACCTTTCTCCTGAGGAAAGTTGGTGTATTTAAACCGCACGTACACAGCCCCAGCCTTGCAGAAAGTTTTTGTCGCCACAAGCAAAACTCGGAGGGGCCGTGCGGCGTGGGGCGCCGTTGAAACAGAAAATCGGCGGCCTCCGAAGTGGTGCGGGTTTCGTGCTGACACCTGCGGGCCGATGTGTGACGTAAAGCACCAGTACATGCCAGATATCGGCCGCGGGCCCCTTTCGGAGGCTGCTCAACGCCGATTCATTTTATCTACGGCGCTCGGCCTCCTAAATTTCCGGAGAGGCTCAAAACAGGTTCTCCAGTTGCCTGGGGCCATGTACTGGTGGTTTAAATCCAAATCATGGACACTTGTTGAGCCACATAAAAGCATTGAATATTTGGAATTTGGCCCAAGGAAATGGAGCTGGGAACAGAAGGCCACAAGAAAGAGCTTGCCCACTCCTGATTACTGTGCGAAATTCGGTACGAACTTGGGATATAGACCCCGCCTCAGAACTCCAAAAGAGAGGGGAATGAGCTGCTACAGGTTAATCCTGACGATCCATCAATATCTCATGGAACAAATATGAGACACACTCAAAGCAGCAAAAATATGTAGCCTTAGCGGCTCATTGCATACGTTGCCCTTGGGGTCAACCAGTGGGCTCCACGAATGCAGAAAACTATAAAAAAACGCGAAACTCAAACCAGCCAAAATTTGTAGCCGTAGTGGCTCAGTGCGTACGTGGCCCTTGGGGTCAACCAGTGGGCTCCACGAACGCAGAAAACTATA